TTGTCAGGCACACGCCAAGACAGTTGTGTAAATACCACCGACACGTGAAAAGACAGAGACACCTACCCTATCCACTCCCTGAGAGGGTGTCGACATCCAAGAGATTAAACTTGATTGTGCTCTCAGCATAGATTGCGGAATCACGGTCCTACACTCAGTTTGGGTTAAATACCGGTTGCATAAGGACCGAGGTTGTGTTGAAATGACAGTACTAATTCAACGCACATTCTCCTTTTCAAGTGCCGGAGTACCCCATTGAGCGCAGCGGGCAGCTAACGCTATCCAGAAGCAATGCCAACTCCCCAACCCCCTTCGACTGCGCTGGTCTTTGAGCATTGTTTATGAGTCTGAAAGGGTTTGTGTCGGGGACTACAATTCACAAGCAAGAAGGGCTGAATACCAGAAACAGCCATTTTCTTTTTTATAAAGCCTGTTATTGACTTCGGCATACCATTCCATATTTCGAAGAGCTATAAATTCTCAAAGCTCCATCACACCCTCTGCATTGCCGGCCGAACAATGAACCAGGCTAGCTCGGCCTTCAAAATCTAGAGCTGAAATTTACCCCACCCCTGCCTGACATGCTAAGCAAGTGCTGTGGATATCGCTCTATATAAATAAAACACTGATGGCCAGTGACCAGGCAGGAAGTATAGGTGGGACAAGGAGAGAGGAGAATTGGGGAAACAGGAAGGAGTGGGGAGAGACACTTCAGCCACCGCCAGGATAAGCAGCATGTAAAGATGCTGGTAAGCCACCAGCCATGCGGCAAGGTATAGATTTATAAAAATGGGTTAATTTAAGATATAAGAACAGTTAGCAAGAAGCCTGCCATGGCCATACAGTTTATAAGTAATATAACTGTCTGAGTGATTATTTTATACATAGATTGTGGGACTGCGGGGCTTGGTGGAACCTGGAGAGAAGCCCTCCAGCAACAAATGGTGCCCAACAGCTCGAGTTTCCACCTTAAACCTGAGAATATTTAATAACCAATTCTAAACAGAGCCAAAAACAGGTTCCTGCTTCATGCCTCATATCGGCAGGTAGATGCCGCAAAATGCGGGTTTGAACACTGACGAGTTCCTGGAGTGTGCGTTTGACCGGCAGTATGGCTGGAGTGAGGTGTCTGCCAGAGGCACATTACGCTGTGTGTGTGTGTGGTAGATTGAGTCTTTACTAGTTAAAAAAAAAAAAAAAAGGTTTCTGGGCTACACTCTGCTTTGATAAAAGCTTAGACCCACTATTTCTGAGACTTGATGACTCACAGAACTGGCGGAAAACGCCATGTTGGTAAGCTGAAATAGGCAGAGCCAGCAGCCACAGCGCCGTTTCAGTCTTACAATACTACAGTTTAAATCAATAGATTCACAATACGTAGGCTTGAAAGAGACAAAAAAGATAAATTAATATAAAAAAGCCACATAAAGATGAATATTACACAGACAATCTGGATTGTGTTGTCTTTGGGATTTTTAACTGCAAAAAAAATTTGATTGAAAAAAATGGTAAATTAAACCAATATGTATATTTTAAAGGTACCTTGACTTCAAAATTTGGATATAAGGATATGTTACTTTGGAAAAGAGATTCTGCTTTTGTTTTCACAGAAAGCCAGAGGCTATGGATTTGTTCCATATTAAGATACAACAGGTTTGACCAGCCAAGACCCCCTGAAAGATCTCCGATGACACCATGGCCCAGATGATCCAACATCCAGAATGGTTTCAAGGCATCTGGCTCCCACAATACAGCCTCAAGGACTACCCCATAGGCCTAAAATTTTCTTTGTGTCCCCATAAGATACAGCACCCCCCTTCAGGAGGAAGTAGTAAGAGATGCTACGCCCAAATTCCCAAATATACCAAGCTGGATTTAGAGGTGGAATTAGCTCACTCCCCCTCTAAACCCAGACATATTGCTTTTAAAAAAAATGGTTAAGAGATTCTTGTGTCCCAAATCAGAAGAGCCCTCTGGTGTGGGATAGGGAAAAACCAATATTTTTATTTAAAACAGGTTGATTATAAATGTGATCTCTTTCTAAAAAAGAAAAGGGGAT